GTGTTTTGGGGCACACCCCAGCTGTGGCCTTGTCTGGTCACCTCTGCCCTTCCCACACTGAAGGTCAGCAGGGTGGGGCACCAGCACTCCTCACAGTGAGGAGGAGGAGGAACACAGTGTACCGTGGAGAAGGGGGGAGGAGAGACAGGACCTAGCCAGACAGAGGGAGAGCCTTGTCAGGGCCCTTGCGGCACATCTCTGGGTGCCCCGCACCATGCTGGACTGCAGTCTGCTGTCCCCTCAGATACGACCATGGGTCCTGCGTTTGCGGCTTCTCTGTGTAGTGTCTGGCCTTGTGTTAGTCAGAACCCTTTCTTGGGTCCCTTGGGGAAGGTGCTCACAGTGGGTCTGCATGGTCAAGCTAGTTTCCTGGTGGATGGAGTCTGCTTGTAAGACACCAGGATAAAAGAGTTGGGGTAGGGAAGATACCTGGTACAGTGTTGGGGGAAGGTGTCCTGCAGTGCTCCTAGGGGACACACCAAGTCTGCGGAGGGGGGCAGTGCTCTGTAGCAATTGGCTGGGCTGCTCCATTTCTGACTTGCTGAGAGCCTTAGCTTCTCGTTTGGGGAATTAAGGAGACTTCCCTTGTATGTTGTAAGAATGGAGCATACTGGTCTGGAGAGATGGCTCAGAGGTTAAGAGCACTGACTGCTCTTCCAGAGGACCTGAGTTCAGTTCCCAGCAACCACATGGTGGCTCCCAACCATCCGTTATGAGATATGGTGCCCTCTTCTGGCCTGCAGGCGTACATGCAGACAGAACACTATACATAATAAATAAATCTTAAGGGAAAAAACAGAATGAACTATATTGCTGCTGAGTATTTCATTAACTTAAGACTGTTAGCCCCTTGGGAAATAACCCCAACCTGTGTATGCAAGGTAGACATGGATGGCTTGTCATGTGTCCACTTTGGGCTGCTCCCTACCAGCAGCACCTCCTGGGTAGTTCAGGCAGTTAACCCTCATGGTTGGGAGTGGGGGGAGGGCGCTGGCAGCAATGTTATTTAATCTCCAAGCATGATTATGTTCACACGTTTAGCATTTGAGCACCAAACTGTAGGCTTCTCAAGGACAAGGATCATGTGTCAGCTACTGCAGCCAGTACCTGTGTTCTGGTGGGGTCTGGCTGGATTGGTCTCCGTGAAGCAGTTTGCCTCATCGGCTCTCAGC